AGTTCGCACAGAGTAGCCCTTCCTAGTATGGCGTTGAAAGCTGATTCCATTTTGACGACCAGGAAGCTGACTGAAGCCATCCTGAAGCGTGGTTCTGAGCCCACGTAAATGGGAAGCGTAATTACTCCCTCCACCGGAACGGGTTGGTTGTCGAACCCGTAGATAGGCCCTTCATATTTTTGTAACGAGTTAGGGTTCAATTGCATCTTTTGAAAGCAACTCCAATACAGGATATCCGGCGAGCTCCCAGTGTCAATGAAGACCTTATTGACGTTATGGTTGCCTATATGGACTGTTGCTACAAAAGGATCCGCATGAGGCATCACGACGTCAGGCTCTCCTGCTCGCTGGTAATCTGTCGGGCTAAACATTATGGCCGCATTCTCCCACTCTGCCTCCTCAAATGGACGTTTAAGAGGTCGGTTCTTATTCACTGTCATCACCTGGCGAGCGTACGCTTTGCGAGCTCGGGCGCTTTGACCTCCTGCATGTATACCACCAGAGATCATGTTGATTGTGCCAGATGGCGGGGGTATTCCACCATACCCGACTCCTCTGTGGTCTTTTTGATTCTGCGTAGGTGCCTTTTGTCCTTGCCCACGCCTATTGAACGGGCGTCCCCTGTATGCTCTGGTCGGCTCAAATGAGTACGGGCCGGCCTGGTAAGAATTTGGATTGCTACCGAGCTGATACCCAGGTGCTTGAGGCCGGCCGTATTCTTGTACAAAATGGGTCTGGGTGGGTTGCCGAACAAAAGGCTTCTGCACATACCCCTCCAATTTTCCATTACGAGCCAAAAATTCGAGCTCGTCCTTCAGGCTCTGACAATCTTCTGTGATATGGCCGTAGACACGGTGATAGTCGCAGTATTTGCTTCTGTCAGCTCGTGAAGAATCATGCGTTTGTGGAGGGGGTCTCTTGACCCAATGCTGTATCTGCGACAATATCTGGGATCGCGACGAGCTCAGGGGCATGTAGCTGTCATATTTTGGATAAGAGGGTGGTTTCCCTCTCTGCTCGCCAACCTTCTGCTTCTTCTTGTCATCTCTGCTTTCAGGTTGCTTGGATTCTTTTCCGTGTCTGTCATCAGCTCGTCTCTTAGAAGATTGAAAATCTTCAGACAATATGAAGCTTGCCGACCTGTCATTTACTTCATTCCATGACTTGGGCGGATTCTCCAGCAGGTCGTCCAAAAACTGACCAGGCTTCAGGCCATGCAACAAGGCAGATAAGCAAATGGTATCGGGGACGTTATCAATGTCCAAAGTAGCTTTGTTGAATCGTTGCATGTAGTCTCTCAACGACTCCCCCTCTTTTTGATGAACCTGCATCAGTTCAGTCGCCGTGCGTTTAATTTCCCTTTGGCTCGCAAACTTGTTGGAGAATAGCTTGGCGAGCTGGGAGTACGAGTCTATGGAATGTCTGGGGAGTTTGTGATACCATCTCCTGGCTGTTGTTTTAAGTGTTGCTGGGAACACTTTGCACATCATGGCATCATTGGCGTTTTGTATTCTCATGATGGCTTGATAAGTGTGCAGATGCTCGTCCGGGTCGCCCGAGCCATCATACGTCTCTAAATGGGGAATTTTAAATCCCTCTTGATATGGTTCTGCTGTGATGGATAGGTTCAATGGGGCGCTATCTAAATCAAGAGTTTGCTGATACGACCTGGGGCTTTTCAGTTCGTCTATAGACTTTTGTACCTCTCTTAGCTGCCTTTCAAGGTCTGCGTTCTTCTTCAACAGTTCTTCGCTGTGCTTGGATGAGCTGTGCTCGATATTTAGCTTTCCACTTCCCCTTGGCCTGGTCGGCACCACTATGTTGCTTAGAGCAGGGGAGTTTCGAGTTGCAACAACCGCAGCTGGCTGTGCATCCCTGTTCAACAAAGGAATCAGGGGGTCATCAGGAATCAGACGGGCAAGGATTTTTCCCATTGCCATTTCGAGAACTCTGGTTCTTTCTTCGAGCTCGGTCGTCCGAGCAGGTTCTGTGGACCTTTCAGGTCGTTCATGCTGTGAGTTGTGTGGTCTAGAAGGTCTTTGTCTTGTCCTAGTTGGAACTTGGAACTGTTCAGGCTAGGTTGCATACCCAGTTGGTGTTCTTTCGTCATCTGTTTCACTCAGGTGATCCTGTTCGGCTCCTCCGACGAAAAGGTTTCTTGGCATTGGCCTAAAGTCATTCAGTCCGGGCTCAGATACTTGAGCGTCATCCTGTTCGTCCATCTCATTCCTCGGGGGGCGACCTCCTGTAAAAGTTCGAACCATTTCGTCTTTCAGCAGGTTAAGTTACACAACTTCTTGTTCAGTTTCCCACAGACGGCGCCAAATGTTTGGGCAGCTTCACAATCCAACGCTGTTGAAGTCTTCAGCTGCTTCTACACCTGAAAATCCCGAGGATGTTTCCTCGGGGAAAACACTCCAACGCTCAAGTCAGCAATACTCAATATTCTAGAGAGAAGTGCTCTTAAAGAGTAATTGCAGAGAGAGAAGCGTAGAGATTAATTACCTTCATTGTTGGTGGTTGGGGGGTATTTATAGCCCCAAATACTGACATGCATTCC